GGTAAGCGTTATTGTATTTTCCAATCGTTGAGAATATATCTATACTTCTATACTAGTTAACTTCGTCTTTGAACCTATTTGTGAAATGTTCTATTCCGTCTTTGCGTATTGCAGAGTTATCTTCTCTTGGGAGCAGGTATTGATTGTTACGTCACTTGTTTGTGAGAATAACGTCATCAATTTTTGAGAAAATGACGTAATTTTTTCACACAGACCAATGACGTAACAATCAATACCTGTTCCTAAGAGAAGATAACTCTGCAATACGCAACGACGGAATATCAATTACGGATACAGAAAGAGGACGCCAAGCAATTGACAGCTGGATGTATGCGCGTTCCTAGTGTTTACTCTTATGGTAAACATTAGCATGGGGACATATGTCTTTTGTGCTTTCGATAGTGTCACTTTATTATTATTTGTGTCTTGTGCCTTGATTTAAATTTATTCCGACACTGCCATCAGTCAACAATGGCACAAGCGACGTTTTCTCAATCAGACAAATGTCACAAGCGGCCGAACTCATTTTGTTGGTGTCAAGCGCAGGCATTCTCATTCTGGAAAACGTCACAAGAAACCTGCTCCATCCTGATAAATACACCCGCGGTAGAGTCCTTATCATCATCGATCATTCCATAATGGTGGTCAAACATCGCTGTCCGAAATCAACTGGACACTGTCCATATGTAATTCAATAGTCAGCCTGGTTATTTTGTCATTATTCAGTATTTTGAAATACCGAAAAAGAAACACGTATTTTGATCATGACAATATTTGTGTACATGTATTTGTCTTTATGACTATTGACAGTTCTCCTATAGCACATTGAATGGCTGTTTATCAATCGTTCGAATAGATACTTTCAATATTTTTAATTTAACTGTACGCACAAAATAACCATTTTGAGAGAAAGTGTTTAATTTGGTGAGTGATGGCTTCTTGGTTAGAATGTAAATAGATCGAATGGTGCTTTTCAGTTGTCAACTTGGTATATATATATATACATTGCAGTTCATACGGATATGAAAAATAAATTTTTTAATCATCATTGAACTCAAGGTATGGTGCTTGCGGCATTATTTCAAGATTAGGTTGCATATTACAGATACTAGGTGCCATTTTGCAATCCTTTTCGACAAGGTCCTTCGAAAAAATAGTTTCACGCTGCAACATTTATGTATTAGAACGTTCTCATCATTGATGTATCGACATATATAGTGACACGTTGAGTTTCACTATAAACACGAGAGAATAAGTGAATTTCAAAAATTCCTAAACAGTTGTTTATAAAGCATACACAATTATAAATGTATCTGCACTCCAATATACCCTGTATCTTTTGTCCCTTTGGATATACTCGCATGTATGCGTTATCTCTTTGATATGTTTGTACGTTTGGTTTGATTTGTTCCGTTTTTATTGGTCAATGATTTTATCACGTGGTATAAAATTCTACAGTATTTAACTCTTGGAAAATACCATGTCTCTCGGCAGTTTCCAGTTTTTGACGGAGAGGTAGTTGTGCCGTTGGATACTTACTGAAACAGTAGGACATGACGTCTTTCGAAAACAACAAAGTTAAAAAGATGTTTGTGAGTCTGAAATATGGTTTACAAAACAATTGAAGGTACCACATGACATAGATACACTCGCTATTGTATGTTTATAAATTCAGTCAAAGAGCATGTATTTGTATCTTTTAGATGATATGATCAAACTAGTAATGGATGAGAGTATTATGGGTTGTTGCCATTATGATCATATTATATAGCTTCCATAACGTCAGATAATCTGATTAAGGAAGAACGGCCCATTTCAATTATTTCTCGTACAGTAGACATATGTCGAGTTAGTTGGAACTTAAATACACAACGAGTTAAAAGCTTAAGGCATTATATTATTGGCAGTGCAGATAAGTCATCATGCAATGAGAGTTCAAGGTCATCTGTGACATATACGAGTACGATTGAAGTACATCAAGGTCTTGAGTTGACGATTTTATGTCGCATTAAGATTTACACCTCCGCAAATTAATCCCAAATACATACGTATGTTGGTATTTCTGCTTCATGATAAATAGATAATATTGTAAATATTTGTTCTGTTGTCTCGTTGTGACTTTATGCTCGATAAATGGTTTTGATGTTAGATACAAAGAACCTGAGACGCCATGGATCATCGATGGGCTCATAAAATGTAAAAATACAGCTTTTTCATTCACAAATTTCTGTTATAAACATCGTATTGGTTAATTGGAGCTCTTTCTCTTGGTTTATTATTTTTCAAATGCGCATGCGTAGATGCCCTACCATTGCAATTAAACTGCGTTGTTATGCAGAAATAGCCAAAATGTGTTTGTTCTTTTGGACAGTTAGTATGCAGAAATGAAAGCCTCCGCATGTGACAAACAAAAATTCATTTCTACGAAGGAACACTGGTATGAAAATGTTCAAGCATATTAAATATCCATTTGTTTGTTGCATGCGGAGGCTTTTAAAAATTGAAGAGTGTTTAGTTGATTTCCTTCAAAATGGCCAATTTTCAACCAAATAGCGCACAGCAGACGATATTTAAGCATATTATTATGAAAATGCGGGTTGGTGTCTCAATTTCTAATGAAAAATCTCCTAAACCAGTTTTTGGATGGATATGAAATTTCATATTTGCATACTTAATTTATTCAAGATCATGAATATCACAACTACATGCAATCCTAAATCCCGGGTGATGCCGTATATGACTCTAAACGCCACTAGTCCTTTCCTACATCTCCTTTCTATACTTGGCAGTTCTATCATATACAGTACGAACAGGAATATGATAAATATATGTTAAATACGATGAACATGATAATTTTGATAATATTGGCAAAAAATGAATATTAAGTTTGTTTGAAATAATTATCTGTGTTGCTGTTATTATGCTGGCTATTTATCACTATGAAGGATAAGAGGAGACAAGGATACTATTCTTTGCCAATGATGTGGTTTATAAGTGAGTTGGTTAAGCGAGAGGTCCCCGATATTGTCCCTCCTTCTTACACTTTTGTTTAGGTGCTGTCTTCTTAGTTACTTCTGTTAAGCCATCCTCGATACTCAAGGGGGTTGGTTTCGCTCTCTGCAGGGAGTGAATGTAAGCAAAATCCCCGGAGGTTCGATTCGATGATGCTGGTAAGCCTGTTGTCAACAAATATCGCAATGGTGGGATGTCGTACATCATATACAGGTTTGTACATATCAATCTATCGGCTTTTGTAAGCGGTGCTTGAATGCAGCGAGCATCAATGGACACCGTCGTCACATGACTTAAGCAGTTCTGAAGGCGTTGAACTCTAGCCAAGCCGAAATTCCTGAGTTGATATCATCACACGGGAACATATCGAACAGAGAACTATTTCAGAGAGACCTGGCTTACCGGCTATATATAGGCTGATACACTTAGTAGGAGGAAAGACTGCTTACTTATCTACAAACTATAAACAGAAGACTTAACTTAAGCCATCTGCTTTTAAACATCAATCATACTAAGCTGACTAGGTATGTTATCAATGACACCAACTATCAGTGAAGATTAGCCCTGCACGAATTCTGCATTGCCGAAGGTCAAATGTGCTGCGATATGCGCTATCGTTATAAGTCTGACAGATGGGCAAGTATCGAAGCCTAATGTGTTTTTCTGTAATTTCACACTTTTTGTTTATTCTGTGCATTTTTGTTTCTATTTCATTCTAAAAATAATTTCAATGAAAAAACCTGCAGCTATATTATCCTCCATAGTTCACCAAACGCGGATCAAACATAAATATTATCACGAGACAATCTTTGGAGAATCTGAGAATCTCGAACTTCTTTGCGAACAAATTAACCATCTTTGATGATCAGGAGGCGTCAAATTAGATATGTACGCAGCACGCCCGCAGATTAGGTAAATAACACATTTCATTAAAAAGATCGGAGAATGTGATATAAACCACAGATTTATTTTATTTCATTTGGGTCACAGCAGTGGATGAAAGACACAGAATATCGATTGTATACATCACCTGATCATAGACTTACGGTATGATGATTTCCTTAATATCTGCAACGAAACTATTAACCTCATAATCCGTTCTACCCGCCGGATCGGCTTACTGATTTAATTGATAAAATAATGGTTTTTTTTCTCTCTCTCCACTCTCCTTGCTGGTTTCTTATCAAATGCGTTTAAATAACCTGAATCACCTGGTATCCATGTGAGATCTCCGAGGATTATACCTGTGCTACGAGAGTGTCAGCTCTTATATTTAATTGACCCTATCAAAATGTACCGGATTACAGTACAATGTGTTGCAATAATAAAGTGAAACGAGTAACTACGGAAGTTGCAGAATATTTCGTCTCTAATCATTGCCATTTCAAATACTTACATAAAGAAAAAAAGAAAATTCGACATAACAAACAAACAAACACATACAATGTAACGACTGTAAACGTACAATTTTTGCGTACTCATATTTTAGCGGATTTTTTTAAATTTTTTTTAAATATCAGCGCATTTATAAATTGTCACACCCCGAAAATATGCAATACAGAACAATATATAAGAACTTCAATTGGCGCATTCACCACGTACCTAAAGTACCGCAATAATTAATTAAATCGCGAAAAGCACTAAAATAACACAACCGCTAAAATAAATACGTTTACAGTATTTGAAATATTAGAAAAAAAAAGTAATTTAGTTTGTGGTTTTATGTAATTATCAAGGTATGAACACAAACATCGACGAACATACGACGTACATTTGAATATCTGTTTATAATACATGCTGTGATGTTCATATCTCGATAATGCTATATTAAAATAACATTAGTACATATATCAATATATCATCTTTGTGTATTAAAATCTTAAAAAAGGTAAATAGAAGTAAAATAAAAACTTCTGGTGGGAGACACACATTTGTTTTTTTCTTTCATAAAAATACGATACGAAAGAAAACAATATCTAGGTTTCTTGTAAAAAAATGATCAAATAAGTTATTAATATTAATATATATAAAAACATGAAAACAGAAGAAAAAGAGGAACACATCCGGTCCATCCTCATTGGTGTGTTTACACAACAGCGGACTGAAATACGATAACGTGTTTATAATACACATACAAATAAATATGTTTCATGTTACATGTATATTTCCTAAGAAGCAACATATCTGTTCTAACAGGAACTAGTAACCGTTGCTAAACTTTTCATTCATAGAAATACAATGAAGACTTCTTGTTTATCTGGAAGTTTACGAATACAATGTATCAGTTTTGAAAAAGAATATAAAGACTGTTGATAAAAAAACAAAACAAGTGAGATAAACACAAAGCGCATGGAAGTAAGGTATAAGGCTTAACAATAAACGACAGAGACCCACTTTGTAACAAACAGGGGCCACGATTATTTATTTGCAGATTGACACATGAAAGCATAACTATGGTTTTAAGACATGTTTAAAAAGATTTAATAGTCAACGCTATCGTATGCATGTAACATTATTTTCTATAAAATGTCTCAACCTAGTATTGAAATATCCTACAACATAAATGCGTGTTGGTCACGTGGTTCATGAACCTGCAGTGATTATCGGTATATATATATGTCACGTGGTTAAATCAAATATAAGACATATTCAATATTGATATCACAAGGGTTCGACTCATTAACAATGTCTTTCAAGATCATATTCTAGACTATCCATACAGTGTAACTTTCTTATAACGAAGCCGATAATTTGAACACTTCCTTTTTCTCGAAGTCAACATTTTGGTCCCTAAATTTTATGTTTAGCATCTAAATTAAGATACATCCCTATGCATTCCGTTTGACATGGTGACAATATTTTTTGAAATAGTCATAAATAATAATTATTTCCAAGCAATATATATATCCTTTAGTTGTATTAACAATAAATTTATAAATTAGCCATACGCTTAAATGCCTATTTTAAAATTGATACAATGCATGCTTTTATTAATGTTATCAATCCAACATAAATATCACAAAACGCCTGTACATAGGATATACATTCTACACATCTATATATCCAATAAACCATGGCCATCAGTAACTATATATGGCGACAGATACTTGGTAAACGCTTGAGTAACACTTGGGTAAATGTGTCAGGAATATTTTGTCAACATGCTTTACATTTGCGTCTAAGTTGTACGTGATACAGCGTACTTGAGCTATAAGTACCCTTTACGCAGGAACTGTTCCAATATCGCCTTTGTTAATATTTAATTTAATTTAATTTATTCTTCAAACATCAATTGATATTATATTGCTGTCAAACATGATACAGTTTTATATAAAGGCTGTAAAATATATAAGCCCTTGATAAGTATACAGCTTATATATAAAGCCGTATCTTTAATACAGTGAATTAACAATAATTTTGCAGATATTACATAATGATTTAGTTAATTTCTTAAATTATCTTTATTAATATAATTGATCTTTTTTTACTATCACTTCTATATGGAAATCACAGTGCAAATATGTAAACGAGGAATAGATTACAAATAGTTTTGTTCATTTTTACCATATCAATCTTATACAGTAACCCATGATCTATTATACAGCAACGCTGAAACCGGAAGTGGAAGCCATATTGTGATACGCTATCACATGTTACTTTATATGCACAACACATAATAAATATACGTCATATCCCGTCTTTCAGATTGTGAAGATTGAAATCGCACTTTGTTGGTTTCGTTGCTTAAACATTTTCCCGAAGGATAATGTTCGATTGTCTCAGTCCCTTGATACTTATACAGCTTATATATAAAGCTGTACTATAACATTATATATACATATATATATATACACAACATAAATATTTGTATCTACATTTATTTCATAACTATATGAATATGGGGGTAGAATCGCGTGGAAAGTCAAATCACATGCAATCCGTACTCGATATAACACCCGTCTCTTTAATGGTAGACTCTTTCTCATAAACAAAGTACATGGTTTCACACACCTAAGGAAGAATTAAAAATAAAAATTTTGCTGTCTATAGCATTGAAATGAAAAGGCATTTGATCGTGTATTTTTCTAACTACGTTAAAGTGTATTAAGGGGAGACAACTGGACGGTATGAAAATATAAATAAATAATCCGCAGCAACGCACACGATCTTTCCTGATTGGTCAAATTCAAATAACCGGAAGTCCGATCAGGTAAATACAACGTCCTTTCTCCTAAATTCCTCCATTTGTAAGGCAATGTGATCGACATCTGGATCTTCTTTGTTTGCCCCTGGGAATTTAAAATCGTCCAAAAAGTAACAGGTTCCTTCAATATCTTCAGGGAATCCGTCTGGTAAGTTCTCGCGAGTCCGCGGGGTGTATGAATATCCTTCTATTTCTGAAATACATCTGAAATTTAAAAAAAATGGAAAAAAGAATTACCGTTTGTGCCAGTTAAGATGTTAAACCACAATTTCATTTAATAAATTTTAAAATAGGAATCGGTGTACAACACTATTCCTTACGTGTAGGTAGTCGGACTGATGTTGATGCGCTCTGCCACACTCCCACTCTCAAACTTGTTTGCCAGAGTGACGTTATTTCCAAATAAGCAGTATCTAGGCATGCGCACTCCAACGACTCCAGCCAAAACGGAACCAGTGTGGAGCCCAATCCTCATCTACAGATAAAGTGACAAAAACTGAAGATTGAAAAATGTAAATTTAAACTCAGATATCATTGCTTGTGGCAAAGTCTTTTACCAGAGGAGTATTTCTAGAAATTTACTTTTGTCGTTTTTACTGACAGCAGAGGTTTATATAAAGAATTATGATTATTAGTAACTGTTAGTATTATCAATCCCATCACACCATCACACCAAAACTCAATCCATATGCTATTTTTCCATTTCAAACTGAGTGCGACTTTCAGGTGATTCAACCATCTACTGGCATAATTAATAAAATGATATCATAAACCATAGTGCCCGGAATCACTCGATTATCCACGAAAAACGTCACCACGTGACCGCTTGTCATACGTACCCGGATGGCGTTCCCGTCCTTTGATCGTTCCTTCGCGGCGATTGCCATCATTCTCAATGCCATGAATGAGATCTGGTGGGCATGTCGCCTTGACCTTTTGTGCAGACCCCCTGCCACACAGTATGCGTCTCCGATTGTCTCCACCTAACAGCGAAACAACGTCACATTGTTAAAAAAAAACCTCCTTACATTGCAGAAGTGAGAAAACGTCACATTGTAAAAAGCACGCCCTCTATCTAGCGTTGATACATCACGTTGAACAATAAAATAATGAGCATACCTTCCGGCTGGTAACAAAACATCACATCATAAATTAGATACCAATATAGCTCTTATCAGTGATCCATTTACACAGGTCTAGCACATGCTTATTTCACTCTGAAGAATACTTAAGTTTCACATTTAAACGTCTTTTTGACATTTTCTTATCACCGCGAAGACATAGATGGTGATAGGTTTATGACCTTGTACAGAAAGAAAATCACCTAGAGTTTCGGAAGCTGCATACGCCCTCACATTCTGTAAATAAGTCTGCCCTCATAATTTACGTGTCAAAGATGTGAATCATTTAAATGTTTTTTTGTCGTCTGGGCAGTAATGTATTTTCTTTTTAGTTTAATCGATAGATCATTGAACTTGTATTGTGTAGTACCAGGTTCTAGCGGAGACCCATGGAACATGTGGCGTCGTTTTACCTAAATTGTCACTGTCTTAACAAGGAAGGACACAACAGAAAATGATATCTTACAAAAATGTCAAGTAATTTAAACAGAAATCGAGTTAGTTGTATGTTTAGCCAATGTAAACTTACAATGTACACATTTGTAAATCGATTTCACATCAAATTACTATCGCTATATTAACTGTAATACAATGTCAATAAAAAAAAACCGCGTACCACAAACAGTGGAACTCTCTAGTGTTTTTTACATTCTTCGTTTGGACAGGAATCTAAACTTTACTACTTGCACATTCCAAATGGTACGAGCAACCGAATTACAACCCAAACGTTTTGATTGACAAATAGATTATCGATGGGGACTTCTCTAACCAATTTCACTCATTTCTTCCATGTGGAGCCAATATGCAGTTTATTTTTTATAATTGAAAATGAACGTGTGTATAATGGAGATATCATTAAACCTGTTATTGTTTAAAATACGCACATCACTGACCAACAAAATCTGTATGCGCCAATCCATTGAATGGGTCTTTTGCATATAATCCTGATAAGGGGAGTCCGTTCAGTGTCTTGCGGGCACATCAGCGTTGTTATTTTCTGCTACGTCCATATTTAGCTTCATGAGATGACTTGCTTAAGTCTTATTTTTGAAGATAAAGAAACGTAAGAGGAAATCTAGGAAAATTGTCGGTTAAAATCGGATTTTTATAGCTCATCGGTACGGAAAGTCATTAGGATTTGTGAACGGCTTGATAACCCCATCGAATCGACCGTACTGCTAGTTAGGGTAACTCGCCCAAATAGATTTGTCATTATAGCGTTATTAGAATCGAGAGGGTTAATACCCTGTGATTAATTACCAAGCTACATAGAGACCCTTCAAATACGAGCTAGGGAAGAAACTGGGAAGGATTAGAAGAGAGAAGGGTAATATGTTGTAATACATTGTAATACAATATTAACCAAACAATATAGCCGACCTAATACCAACAACAGAAACGGTACACATACAACTTTACAACAGAGGCGGTACACATACAACTTTACAACAGAAACAGTACACATACAACTTTACAACAGAGGCGTAAAATATACAACTTTACAACAGAGGTGGTACACATACAACTTTACAACAGAGGCGTAACAAATACAACTTTACAACAGAAACGGTACACATACAACTTTGCAACAGATGCGGTACACATACAACTTTGCAACAGAAACAGCACACATACAACTTTGCAACAGATGCGGTACACATACAACTTTGCAACAGAAACGGCACACATACAACTTTGCAACAGATGCGGTACACATACAACTTTACAACAGAAACGGTTCACAAACAACTTTGCAACAGATGCGGTACACATACAACTTTACAACAGAGGCGTAACATATACAACTTTACAACAGAGGTGGTACACATAAAACTTTACAACAGAGGCGTAACACATACAACTTTACAACAGAGGTGGTACACATACAACTTTACAAAAGAGGCGTATCACATACAACTTTACAACAGAGGAGGTACACATACAACTTAACAACAGAAACGGTACACATACAACTTTACAACAGAGGCGTAAAATATACAACTTTACAACAGAGGTGGTACACATACAACTTTACAACAGAGGCGGTACACATACAACTTTACAACAGAAACGGTACACATACAACTTTGCAACAGAAACGGTACACATACAACTTTGCAACAGATGCGGTACACATACAACTTTACAACAGAAACGGTTCACAAACAACTTTGCAACAGAGGCGTAACACATACAACTTTACAACAGAGGCGTAACACATACAATTTTACAACAGAGGTGGTACACATACAACTTTACAACAGAGGCGTAACACATACAACTTTACAACAGAGGTGATACACATACAACTTTACAAAAGAGGCGTAACACATACAACTTTACAACAGAGGTGGTACACATACAACTTAACAACAGAGGCGTAACACATACAACTTTACAACACAGGCGGTACACATACAACTTTACAACACAGGCGGTACACAAACAACTTAACATCACAGGCGGTACGCATACAACTTAACAACAGAGGCGTATCACATACAACTTTACAACACAGGCGGTACACATACAACTTTACAACACAGGCGGTACACATACAATCGAGCCAGATTTTATTTTATTTTCAAATTATTTAAAGGTACGAAATATCGCGAGTTAGAGAACCTCTTCCTTCTAGACATGCATAATGTGTCCGAGGAACAATATCTTTATCAACAGACCGAGTAGAAATCGACGTGAATCAAGGTGTTACAATGCATTTTCATTTAAACCATGACGTCCTAAAGCACTGTATTTGTTTAAACGTATCAATCCTATAGAAATTGTGTAAAGAATAAAAGTTCGACTCTCCCTCTTATGTTCTCACACTAATCGGAAGTGGTGAATAACGTACAAGTTATGCTAGAAATAAACAAAATAGCGGAAAACCGCTGTGACAGTCATCGCAGTAATATCTGCAGATCCAGTATCTTCAATATGGTACGCTTTATGTAATCTTCCATCTAAAGAATCTAAAATCAAATAAAGTCTTTAGCGAGAGTGAATTAAGAATCATTAATGGAGATTTCATAAATTTTCATCAAGGTATGAACAAATATTCGCGTGGTAAATATGTTTAACTAAAACATGACCAGAACATCTTTTGAATTATTGTGCCCCCTTATCGCAGCGGAGCGTTCTCCAACGGTCTTGCCTACTATATATTCTGCATATAAACATAACATTAAACCTTTAATGTCACTTGGGGTTAGGGATGAAGGAGGGGGTAGTGATAGTTTTTTGTTAAGAAAATGGCGTCAGATTGGGTGTGATTTAAGTATCCACAGCTCCCACGAAACTCGATTAAGAAATGTGCCAGTAGGTCGGTCAGATAAACAGCTGATTAACACATTTTAGCGACTTCATACGCATCGGTAATGTGCGTTTAAGCATCTAATAGCTTCCATGTTTTAACGTATGGTGTATGCCTCGATTGACCGATTTTGTTTGCACCTGTTTTCGATTTGGACGATTACTTTTCTAAATCTTTGTTGTTTTTACCTATCTGGTTATATCAAGAGATGAACGTCAGAAACACACAGGTGATTCAAACTAAGGTAGTGCCCTACCGATTGTCGAGTTATCCTCAACCGGAAGTCCAATCCATTTATTTTCGAAGTGATTTCCCTTTTTAAATTGTCACTGGTTGTCACTTGTCATGTCACATATCAGACAAAATGACTTAATCTCGTGGAAGTCTTGGACACTAACAACTTTTTCCCATTATCTTTGACATGCAGTTCACGTGAGCTCGCGGTTTGATGCTGTGGGCATATATCACCATGGTAATGTATCGATGCCATGCACTCAAGTTAATCATTAGACGATAAGTTATAGCAAGCATTTTTCCAATACTGTTTTGCTTCCTTGATCAAAATGTAATTATCTACCACAATCAACGAATATAAGTTTTCTGTAAATTAATGTTCCTCTTGAATCCTTTCAACTCATTTAAAGCTGGCGATTCATGATATCCTAAGTTGAATTTAATCAAGAAATTGTATCTTTGAAGCATATTTGCACGTACATAGCTTAGACACGACTCCAATAGCCTGAAATGCATGCAGATGACTAAGAACGACATAACCTACCTTCACTAACCCCGCACCTCGGTGAATCATGATTGAATATGCCGCATTGTTATCTAAACCTAGACACAATTAATTATCTACGAATAAAAACTATTCTATTTCCAAGCTCATCTTGGTTTTCAATATATCTCATGATTTTTTGTGACATGTATATTTTCTTGTTCTTGAGGCATTTGGAGGGGAGCCATGACGTAGTCATGACAATCCGTGGTCTTATATCTGTCGGCGTCTCGTTACCAAGATTGGCAATACCAAGAATGTATAAAGAAGAGAACATATCGTTCCTTTTTATTTAATTACATTACCTTTCGGTAAGCCCATGGGATACTCTGCAATATTAACAGTATAACATTGTTTTTCGATTTTGTTATGGCTTCGATTCGAATCGATATTTCTCTTATTCTCATTTCGTTATTTGTTTTATAGGCCGGATGTAGTTATCCAGTGTACCTGATGTTTTGAGTAACGTCAATTTATTTCACTTAAACACTATTTGTATCGGGTCTGTGGGGTTCACATGCTGATGTTTCTCATTAAAAAATGCTTTATCTTGAAAGTCAATAATATTTGACATTGGATGGTTATTATAAAAGATCTATTTAAAAAGCAAAACATTCTTCGGGTCGTGAAATAGATGCTTATACCAAGCATAACTTTTAAACAGTTTTACACGATGTTTCTTGATCCTCATTTAATTATGATATTTTTTTTCGCATAACATATATGTGAATATTGTATATAAACTAAAATCAAACACAACTGAGACTTATTACCGTTAGTTTATTTGTCTGATTGATCCGGAAATTAAAGTCGTACATCACCTACGAGATGTCAATTATTATGCAGAATTAGCCGTAATTCAATCCAGATTATATACAGGCTACATGTATTAGTATACCTACATATTGTAGCATACAACAAATTTGAACTGTACTGGTCGCGTTACCGAAAATCAAAAATATAACAGATTTGCACTGTGCTGGTCACGTTACCGAAAATCAAGAATATAACAGATTTGTGCTGTACTGGTCACGTTACCGCAAATCAAGAATATAACAGATTTGAACTGTACTGGTCTCGTTACCGAAAATCAAGAATATAACAGATTTGAACTGTACTGGTCATGTTACCGAAAATCAAGAATATAACAGATTTGTGCTGTACTGGTCACGTTACCGAAAATCAAAAATATAACAGATTTGTACTATACTGGTCTCGTTACCGAAAATCAAAAATATAACAGATTTGTACTGTACTGGTCATGTTACCGAAAATCAAAAATATAACAGATTTGTGCTGTACTGGTCACGCTACCGCAAATCAAGAATATAACAGATTGTGCTGTACTTTTCACGTTACCGAAAATCAAGAATATAACAGATTTGTGCTGTACTGGTCACGTTACCAAAAATCAAGAATATAACAGATTTGTGATGTACTGGTCACGTTACCGAAAATCAAGAATATAACAGATATGTGCTGTACTGGTCACGCTACCGCAAATCAAGAATATAACAGATTTGTACTGTGATGCTCACGTTACCGAAAAATATGATAAATATGAACTGATCATGTAACCAAAACTCAAGCTTACGACAGATTGGTGCTGGTCACGAAACCGAAGATCAAGCATACAACAGATTGGTGCTGGTCACGAAACCAAAATTTAAGCATACAACAGATTGGTGCTGGTCATGTTACCACTTAACTAAAACTTAAGCATACAACATATTTGTTCTGGGGACGTAACCAAAAATCAAGCATACAACAGATATATAGAGAATTCATTATCAATGCCATTTAATAGAATCTCAGAGATGTCTAACATTTTCGAAACTATTTGCTTCGCTCTTGTTTGACTGATATATATATATCATTAATTAGGTTATCGAGTTATATGAACGATATCTAAATGTAGAGAATCATGCAACGATTAAACTAGCGGTTGTTCATACCAGTGAGGATCTATCTTCATGGTATATTGTATGCAATACATATAAATGGCTGCATTTTAAACGGTTAAATATCATCTGTTATTTCCGGTGCTAAAAATTGCTGTTTCAGAATAAAATCAATTAATACGTGTATGACCATACTTTGAAAGCAACGACAGACGCACATCTACGTAATTGTGATTTTACGTCTTTTTTCGAATAGGAGATGAATTGAAAACTAAACTGTAAAAAAGTTGAAATGACGTCAAAGTAGCATGTGCATTTCAAAATCAATACCAATGATCTGATTCGTTCCAAAATCCTATACAGTATTGCGACAGTAGTCTATAAAATGCATGTTGTTACAAAAAGGTTCATTAATATGTTCCTTTCAAGACCATTTGTTTACAAAAAACAAAACAAGATGGACGTGTGACCATTAACTCAAACACGTTATAGGGACATCATCTGTATGTACTGTGTATAGAAAACAAAGGGGAATGATGTTGCAGATAGTTTAAACCCCGATTGTAAATATGATAACCGTACATACAAAGCGACCGTTTGACACCTGAAAGACGTCAAACCCTGACGAACATGTACTGATAAGTGATCACTCTCATTGAAACATCACGATCGCACTTCGTATGGGAACAGTACCTCAATGGAAACAAGTAAGAATCGGTTTTGCGACGCCAATGTATCTAACGATTCTTTTAAAATTAGTTGAGTAATGTCCCCTTCTAAAAACGTCAGACACATTTTACGACATTGTCATGTATCAATAGTCGCTTACTGTAAAGTCGCTTAGTAATTACAGTCAAATAAAAGTTCTAATGGATTGCTTTACGGCGAACTGAAATTGGTTTCAACAACGGAAGAAGGGACTAATCTATCGTTTGAGATAAGCGTGTTTTCCAGCAACAAAGTATCAATTAACATAGAAATAAAACAAGTTTCTAAATTACCGAGGCATAAGTATGTACAGGTTACGCTATAAATACCTTGTAAACGTCTACCACGCCACAGAAGTAGTCGAACTGTGTGTAAAGCGAGTTCAGCATGCTGATGACCTCCATTGGAGTACAAGACGAACAGATCGCTGTGAACCCGACGATGTCACTGAACAGCATCGTGACGTCATCAATCTTCATCGGATCGATTGTCTCCCCTGAGAGAGAGAAAAAAAAACCAAAGATAATATGTCATATAAAAGTTTATGTCTAATTATGACTACATAATTAGTCAGAATCATGGACAGTAGTCAAGGGGTAATTGATACACTTTAAAGTATAAAAGTACTGTTTCGCAGTGAGGCGCAATGTCAAGCAATGAAAGTAAACTAGAAGGAATTAAAGAATACACATCTCATACATATCACTTTTGTTGAATTCTTTGGTTTTGTACTTGATGAATGACAAGTGTTACGATTGAAAATAGTCGTATGGTCATCGGACTGAAGGAATTTTTATAAACGCTAAATATAATATTCAAATGAAGTAGCCAAAACATAGAAAATGGTACACACAAATAAAACCATGACTTTACAATTAAGCGCAGCAAATTAGTTTTGGTTTTCAATGCCACCTTTAGCAAAGGACAAGGAACAAAACCCCCGAATTTGCAGGAATTATCCGCCGACAAAAGATGATAACATTTATCTAGAATCTTGAGACTTTAGTCGCTTTAAGATTGTTCGAACACTGATGAAGCATGCGCAATTTCCTATGTTTTGGTCTTATCTCACGGAGGTAATTACCGAAGAAAAGTTATGTGACTGCCGGTTACCTATTGTCATGTTGATTAACTTCACAAGGGGACAACTGTTATATGTTATGTTATGTTTATCGTTTACTTTGTTCTTCCTGTGGTGCTCTATAACATTGTGTGTTCTTATGGATGTCCTTCCTAATTTACAAAGTGTCGGATACTTTTTTAAATGTCTGTTATACTTTCTTAAATCTTATGTTCTCGTTGGTTTCTCAAGTTTGAGTAGATATCTGCTGTACAGTATATAATATACTTTTAACATTTGTGTGATATGCACAAGATAAGATGTACCATTCACACGAGTCGCCGGTGAATAATTCAAACAATTTGTGTTCATAATTCACATATACCACTGACATAAACTGTACATAATTTGCGTTCATCATTTCAACGAATCATTATTCTATAAGGTACACCATTTGCGTTCATCATTCACTCGACTCCCTCTTTAGCACAAGTTGAATTCATCGTTCTTACTAATCACACGTGTATTCATTATTCACAGGAGTCACTCATGTATACGAATAGCGTTCATTACTCACTCGATCATCTACTTAGTGTACACTGTTCACAAATTGCGTTCATTTACACGGGATGCTGGTGAATACTAATTGCGTTCATCGCTCATTTCATTGTCTGATGAACACTGTACACACTTTACAAAAGTCACTAGAGTAATGTTAATACTGTCACAGTTCGCGTTCATTTACACCAGAGACAGGTGAATACTAATTGCGTTCATCTGTCATTCGAGTGTCTGGTATACTCTGTACATAATTCGCGTTCGTAACGCGAGTCACTGGCGTACAATTTACGAAATTTGCACTCATAACGTCTTATACATGTATACTTCTCCATGAACAAATACTCATCATAACTAAACAGTGCTAAGAAATGACAATTAAATCATTTGGCGTGTTTTACGTTCGTTTTCAGTTGCCATATCTCAAGATTTTATTCCGCATTAGAATACCACCCAGATCATTGAATCTTAAAAGCACGACGTATAAAAATAGGAAACACCAACTTGTTGTTTGTTTCTTATTCAATAGATTCCTGACATTAATTAACTATCTGAGAGCATGGTTTATTATATAAATACATTAGGAGAGAGTAAAACGAAATAAACTATTCGTATGATTTGTCTTTGAATAATAGGGTTGTCATCCAGAAAATAAACAGAATTTAAAAATCAATATCAGTAACACAAAATCGAGTGCTACCTCGAATTGAATTGATAAAGGTATGAATATAACATCAGGTACAATTTTGTTAGGAAAATTGTAAAGATAATATTTCACTTAGTATTTATCAAAATTTCAATTATAATTGTACAATTTCAATCATGCATCAAAACATCGTCTTAAAATTATTTGAATTGTTTTTGGGTTGTAATGGATTATGAATATTGCGATTTAGATTATCGGAGTTTTTGTTTCTAGGCCAAACCGAAAGCCTACCTCTCCAGAGACGTTCGGCAATATTTGCGGGGAAGATCATCTCGAGGAGCTCTATGTTTTTGGCCTTTTCGTGCTCCACCGCTTTGGTGCCTTCAATGATACCGTTTTTCAGCTCTTCCATGCGTTTCTTCAAACTTGCCTATAACAGAAAAAAAAACCCCATATTTTTTAATTATTTACGCTTAGTTTAAAATGGAGATCACTTGTATTTTATTAATTGTTTTCTATTTTTATTTCAAAACCAAACATACGACACCTGTTAACTCCAACCCGCTCGAACCAGCATACCGGGGTTCATTTTTTTTTTTTTAAACAAAAAGTCTAGAACAGAGTAAAACAGAAAACAACATATCACAGCTTTAATACAAAAGGACAAAATCGAAATTCAGTCTCGAGAACTGGAGTCTTTGGACCACACAATAAAATCGTTGAGATGTTATGAAACATTACAAAAATGGAGACAAATCCATGTGTTCTGTGGGGATAAGCGCACCTGGTACCACATGCGGTGCCTCGATTATGTCTCATGTCGATTGTTTAATTATGGTAGACAGTAAGATAATGTAACTCTCTTTCCAACGAAAAACAGTAGGGTAGAGGGTATCAAGTCCTATTGGTATCGACCCCTCAGGCACATGTCTGATAATTAACCAATGGTTATAACTGCTCTGGGGTGTTATTTATCACCCAAACGATAAGCTTCATCTCAGCCTGAATTAGTCAGGACGTGCCTAATTTTGTTGCCGAGATGAACAGCGTTGTGTATAACGTGTTACGGTGTGATTTATTGTTCCCCAAACAAACATTGACCACATCCAATGACCAACGGTCACTATTGGGGCAATGGTGTTCCTAGAGTTCAAACTAGACATATAAACGAATATCTCGGACAATAAATTTACATTTGACATAGATGAAATATGCAAGCAGCTCCAATACGAGAGAAATAGACAGTTGGTATGGACAGTAATGACGTATTTCATCATTTACTGGTTTGAGTTACAGCTTATTGGTACCGGGTATGATACGTGTTCTCTGTCTTACACACGACAACGCCATGTAGGCATACACTGATGGTAATGATACCACACCAAAGCAGAGGATGGCAGGTTTAATAAAGGACGTTATACAATTTGATGATAACCAATTTGGGCAAGGATGATTATTGCCGTTTTTAGACAATGGTAAAGATAATAATATTATCTCAAAATCTAGCAACTTTTAATTTTCCTCTCATTTAAAAAAAAATGCAATAGTTAGTACAATAACGGTAACAATTGTGTTGTAATCTGTCTCTTGGTGTTCATTTACGGAACTTTTTGTTTTACGCGTAACTTATAAAAGGAAAACAATAACTCGTTGATTGTATCCTGGGCCCTGTTGTTCAGAATGTGATTAGCTTAATCATTGTTTAACGACATTTTTCAACCTCTAACAATTTGGTCAATTGTAACTTTTGCATGCAATTTACTCTAATATATTTGCTAATTATACAACAATTTGACATATAATTTGCGCTAATCACTGTTTGAACAACTGGGCCCTGATCTCGATTTGAAATTAGGATTAAATAACATTATACACTTTTCAATCCTATTTTACAACATTTTTTTATATATTAATATAATTATACATATGACGTATTAGTTACCTATAGAAACGATAGCACACATCATGGCAAAAATGTCAAGTCACTCACGACGTTATTAATGATTCAATAGAACGATTATGGTAAATGAGCAGGGATGCGCATATATAGTCACTTATAATACCTCTAACAACCTTTTAGAAGGTATAGCTTCGGTTTATATAAGTGCTCCATTCATTACTAATTAATGCTTTGTATAGGGATGTACTTATATATAAAATGGTAATAGTGCGTGGTACATGTATAGTGTTGGTTTTAGAACAATTTATGTCTGTGGAGCCAATCTTTGTCCCTTGGGTACTTTCGGTTCTATAGTTCTATGTGGTTCATATTTCATATCACAATATAGACCCGAGGATATTTATTATACTCCATTAAGCAGACAACAGAAGTTTCCGTTCCATAAAAGTGCAGTTCTACCAAACAAGACGTGCCTAGTCTAAAGATGTTAAGTAATCCAAAAATAAACATAGCATCCACAATATGATCAGCGGTACCGAAAACAGACAGGTCAAGATCTGAACAAAAGGATAATCCCAACTGACCGAAAGCGATAGCCTTCGATCCAGTGATGGTAGAAACTGCCCAAAACTGAAATCATCAGGACAATTTGGCCAATAGTGCTCCAAACAGACGTCTACAGACCGATTATCGGGCTCTAGGTATGGTCAAATTTGCTTAGAGGACAAAATGTATGCGATCTATATCTTAGATACAATGAAAGCCTATCCCTGCTGTAGTTTTATTTTTCATCAGAACCGCAGTCTTTTCCGGGATCCTTTTTCTTTCATAGACATCGTGTCTACCGACCTCGGAGTGATAGGTCTTGTAAGCGGGACCATGGGACAAAGCCAAATTGTACTTGGCCAAGAACTCGGGCAGTATGAGATAAACTAGACCAACCGGTGTAATAGCATAGATGTCAATTTTGGTAATAGAACACAACTGTTTACTGTACAAAGATCCAAAAGGTCAGGATATCTCCAGAATTAAACCTGAACTATCAGATAAGAAAAGGGAATTCATAATACTAAGTAATATGATTAAATCATCTTTGGTAACCTTTATACATGCCCCTAGAGTCAACGTATTTATCGGGGAGAATACCACTCCAAATACTTCACTCTCGTGTAATAGGTTATCTAAAGTTTTATACAGGATTGGCTAAGCCCATTAGTGGGGAACAACTCAATTGTAGGCCTTTCTTCTACCTTTTAAAGCCGACACGGGACCCTTACATCCCCTTAACCGATAACTCAGACATGCGCAAAATGCATTGTTGTGTTAAACAGGACAACTACACATAACTGCTATATCTAAATTCCCAAGATAAGGTCAAAGTCCATCTTTAGTATTTGTAGATATAGGCAAATCCCCTTTTAATGTTGATGGAGTTATGACCCATTATATAAAATCATGCAATGTTTCTATGATAATGGTTACATATTCATAAAAACCGGGATTGTGTAGAATTCATGGAAAATGAGGAAACACAATCATATAATGGTTAACTCTATCGCTGCTGAAGTATCTTGGTAAAACTAGGTCATGTAAAACAGAAAACGAAAGTGATTAACTTGCGATAGCAGTTGTCAGATCATGAATGAATAGAACCATATTGGACAAGGAACAAATGCCAATTTGTTTTCTTTTCGATAATCTTTCCTTTAAGAAAACTACATAGAAGACCTGAAAACAAGGTCAATTTAGAACGATTCTGAGTAATAACTACAACCACTATAAAGTCAATGCATTATTATAGCAAAATATTCGTGACATATTAATGACTAAAAAACCCGTTTTCATTGGATATGTTCACTTATGGTCGGTGTCACTTGTCTAATTATTTCTTAAAAATCGTGTGATTTGATATAACGATATAAAGCGTGTTCTTACATTGCTTTTTAACGTGAATTAGACTAGATGAATGGTCTCTCGGTAGGGGTGCTACCGTTGACAGGGAACAGCCTTCTGGTCGTCACTGATGGTGGTTAATTAGCTTTATTAGTATCTATCCCAGCGCTAATGGCCGATTTAATTTATTTATGGTATTAATGCATGGGTTTCATCGCAAATGGGATTTAATAAAAGTGCACATTTTAGTTAATATCTCAACGATGGTAATCAACACAAAATTTGTCAAAACTTAATGACAATAAAGATGTGATACATGGCTATAATAATAATAACGGGTATTTTAAAGATGAAATAAAATCAAATTTTGAACTTTTTATACAACGAGTTTTTTTAAGATATGATGTATTTAGATATTTTATGTCAGTTTAAGAGCAATGCTTTAGAACTTATTTCATATGAATTCATGTCTTTACACTATCAAACTGATTTTTAACGAACTTGTTACTTGCATGCGGTATGCGTTGATTGATCCTGGAACAGGAGCGATTTAGAAAATGACAAATTTGTATAGATTTCGTTTTTTTCCAGAATCAACGAATGTAACAGGATTGGCGCTGTATAGCCTACATTAAAGCACGCTTGAGAAACCCTCTTATGATCTTATCATTTCTCCAGCTAGTATTACATAACCTACCAATTATTTCCGATTTATCGGCTACTTTGTCATCTGTATTGCCTTACAGACAGCATAATCCAGGGGGCTGTCAATGAATACGTTTGCTGCAATGCCATACGGAAGAGATACTTCAGCGCCATCTAGCGTGAAAATTACTGAACCCATTTGTGGCAGGCCACTTGCCTGATATTGTCGGTATTATAAGTGCTCCGCATGCGGTGCGCACACCACAAAACGTGGTTCTAGTGCCTGAGTGGAAATATCTTATCAGCCATTAAATGTTGTCGGCCACAGAACCGGCGTCAGTACTCAGACAGCTCGCCAGACAGGCAAAAACTCTCGAGGGACGGTCAAACTTATTGTGGCACTGAGCATAATCTTTAGAATATATTTACCTTACATGTGTGGTAGTTGATTAGATATATGACAGTACAATCATAAATTTAGTTACCATTAATTGAAAATACGTTTATTATAATTGCAGACTTTCTAAATTAAATAACAAGTCTTACAGAGTTTATCTCCCGATATTAATTGCCCAGCGGAACTCTGGAAGTCTGGCGATGTATTGTGGACTGTATGCCATACTATCGCAAGAACTACAACTAATTATCCGACCAAAATTCAAGGTCTTGGGCGTAAGTCTAACATCTAAATGTCGGTAAACATGATTACCATTATCCTCGGCTGTATGTATTGACCAGAGAGGTCAGTGTGGTCAGGTTTTCCATGTTGGCAGCTTAATCCCTAAGGTAGTGGTATACAGTGAAACATTAACAGTTTGTTCACTATAAAACACCAAATTTGGCATCTTCTTGGAATAGTCTGTCTCATCACAGCTTCGTCTCGATAGATAATAAAATTGCTACCATTCCATTGCTATACATTGTTTGTGGTGTTACGCTTTTCTGACCGGTCAGACGCATCAGCAAGGTTTGCAAATGTTCAAATGGTTGAAAGCGGGTATGCTCAGTACATTGATAGAATATTCCCCATTCTTCACCCGGCTATCTCCCCCTAGGTGTTCACAAGCTGATCTTTTGCAGCTTAAATGGGAGACAAACCTGGGAAGGGTGGCAGAAATACTGAACGAACAACAGTGTACATTTCTGTACCTTTTGTAGTGGGCATTTCTTACGTCGAACAATGAGACATAAGACTAATTCGACTTTGTAGATTATATGGTTTCGAACCTTTAATGTTCGCTCCTTACGACCAACATGTATTCGGCAAGTCTTTCATACAGCGCTTTATAGTTTACTTGGGTCTTCTCATGATGCGTTATGTATGGAGAAACATTATTCTGAATTTGATTTCCACATTCATAAACTAAAAGCAATGTTTTTTTCCCGATCACGTGTACACTGCACTTATGAGCTAATGATATAATTAGATATAAACACTATATATTGAATTAGATTTATCTGAATATATATATCCGTGAGAAAAGTCGAGGTTCAATCCACAGTAAGTAAAAGTCCGTATCAAGACGAACAACGGTTGCAGCAGATCTATACGCTTGGTCATGGTCTTAACCCGATTTTATTTACCTTGATGATATGTCGCATTCCCAGTTAAACATGTACTTGGCTACCATTGTAATCCCCGATCTATAAATACCGAGTAATTTACACGGAAACCTGGCCGATAACAATGAATATTTTATCAACATTTTCCCGATTTTCAATGCAAATACACCATACTATGGAGTGGTTTGGCACCTTACTGTGTATTATATGGAAGTATGACTGCACACACACGTTTATGTAATGTTCAGTGCTGCGCGGGATACAGGTTTTTCTGAGAGCGATATTTTCATTATTCATGCATCAACCAGAAAAGATCTGCTGGTTTCAGCAATGAAATGGCGTCAAAATGACGTATTACAATAGTGTCTGACAACTACAAGCAAAATATGGTATTACTGACTATGGGGTAGCAGCCACGTATGCGAATCTCTTGCTTATTCAATATACAATAATACATAAACATTTTGACGAGATGTATATAGCCTTGTTAGATTGATGAGCTATTATTCAATATTTTAATCATTAGTTTTTGAGGCTTTTTAGAAAATAAAAAAATAAATAGTTTTTGCACTTCATTTCTCCAGATGATAAATCTAAATCACTGTATTATATTTTTAGAATATAAGTGTTTTTGGTAAATTTACCATATTAAACGTTTGTGTCATCTTGCAGTTAAGCTGATCAGGTTTTTTTTATAGCTTTGTCAATGTTTTGAGGGCCGACTTTCTCGGCTGACTCGGCAACTTCAAAATCATGAATCAATTCGAGTATTCAAAACAGTACATCAGGTCGATTATTTTTTTCAAAAGTTTAAAATACATGTCAATACGTCTCAAAATAGCTCAACTCTTTTTTAAATTCATTTTCTGTATATTTTTATACATAATTAATTTTCGTGTATTTTCACATTTCTTTTCTTGCATTTATGTGTTTTCGTAATCTTACACACGCCATAAGGGAACAATTGTATAAACTTAAAAATGAAAAATATCGTTCAGTTGATTATGTCTTTAGACCTTGACACCTAGAAGTCCTATAATGTTATTGTCAAGGTTAGGTTTCAACGATACAATGGTTGTCAAGTCTCGCATAAACTTACAAAGTTAAGGGGGCTCGTGACAATTTGTTTCGGGTCACTCGGATTTTTACCATGTTATCATCAAACATAAGCTGGTCTAACAAGTGGCCCTAAGAACCGTTTGGTTATTGACCCGAGACTCCTTTGGTTAAACCTGTATCTGCTATGTTACTAGGGTCGGTGTTATGGGGAAAGGTGTCTTACATCTCGGGTCACTCGTGGAGATAATGTAAACACTTAAACTGTCGTCAAATAGTGGCGCACTGACGTTTCAAGTGTCACAAATGTGATTTCAATGACATCTGACACATCGTCAATTGTGAGGTTGGGCAGATCAATATGTAGACAGGGTACGCATTCGTTTAATTTGTATTTTCCCCGTTTTACTCAGACACTCTAACCGTATTTCTAGTGGTTATGATAAATAAGGAACGATTTATTTTGACGTTTCGTAAGTATCATGTCAATACTCTTGCAATCCCTTGTTGATAAACTCATATCGATCGTAATGTTTATAAGTAGGAAAGAGACAAATGCTTTACTTCTTGCTCTATCAATTCAAGAAAAAAAGCACTCTGTGACATAGACACATTTACGATGTGTTCCTACTTGTTTCAAGTATCAAGTCGACATCATAACCAGATTTCCATCCATTCAACTTCAGAACGTTGTCAACCTCAATTTATAATGCGCATACTTTGGTGAAAATATGTGGCCGAGTCATTCACCCCTGAAGACACATTTTAACTCTTCCAATTCAAAGGTTGGCATAGTTCATTGTTAAATTTCAGGGTTGAATAAGTTAAAGTACGATTTCTCTCCCGGTGCACAGGGTTTGGGAGCCTGAAGCTGGTTCCTAGTTCCCACAAGGGGAGCCTTTGTTTTTTGTACTTTGTTACCACGATGCTTCATATACTGTGATACGTCAGACCCTGATAGCCTCCCCTTACTGTTCCAATTCTAGAGCAACCAAGTCAAACATAAACGTTACCTGCGCTTTCGTCTGCTCTCCAACAAGAATCACGTCACGAGTGGCGTCATGGATAGGAACGTCAGAGATGTATAACCCCTTCGCTATCATCTCATCCAGTTTCTCGATACTTGGGGAGCCGAGGAAAAGGATTGCGTCCGACTCCTGTAGGTATATCATCTGGCCTTTCAGAAGGGTTTCCTGAAATAAATAAAAAGATAAAATAAGGATATATAAAAAAGAAGTTAAAAATATATTTCAGATGCCAGTGATCTGAAGGGTTAATTCTATATTAACGGGAATATGAGCAAACAATATTAAACTTGTATAAAAAGTACAAAACCAATTTCAAATCCAGCTGACATGAGCAATTAAGTGTTACTGTTTTTAAATGTCAATGCCGTTGACATTTGGCAATATAAGAGTTACCAATAGCTCTGTACAATGAGAGGTGACTGGTTTAACGAACTCATACAATAGTGTCTGGGGATGGTTTTGCCTTATAAGATATATTGACAATAACTTTAATTGTGCAAGATTTTTCTTATTATGTTTTGACATTGCTCTTGAGGCTTAAGCAGTGCATTGTTACAATGTGTAATATTCTCATGAGAGAAAAAAATCGAGAATATTTATTATCAAATTACTTCCTACACCTAGTCACCTAGACAGTGAAGTATTGGACAGCAAAGGCTTTAAGCTTCTGCACTCTACAACTGTACGGGTTTCAGATTTTTTTTTAATTGTATGAGAACTTTTATAGGAGCCCGTCAAATTATTGAACAAATGGGAATAACATCGAGTTATAAGGTAATATTTTTGTTGTTTTTGTATATGCCCTGTGTTAACCTTAGGAAAGACTATAGTATATTGACAATTTACAATTTCAGGACCAGCTTTATATACCAAGTGACAGAGGATAAGGAGACTTTTTATCTAACCAGGTACATTCTAAGCGTCATGATGTACATTGTACTTCTTTTCTCAATCAAGAATATCCACTAACATTTCTGACGCTAACCACAATTCCCCACTTCAACAAAATCTCAACATCCACCATTACCCAAAATCCCATCAACCGACATCTAAAAACAACCAAAATTTCAAATTCGAATAGCAGAAGCGTAAGAAATATCAATATATTATGAGTAAGTTACGGGCCTGAAAACACATAGTAGAATATTCCGGCCTGATCACGGAAAGGTTTTCCCAAATATATTGTCCACAACGGTGTTCATAGGAGGAGACAGGTCATGTAAACCTCACTCTCCGGTAAATTTATATCTTAATCGTTTTAGTGAACTTCGGATCCATTAGCATAACCTCTAAAAGTAACAAATAAGTCTTCCATTCTTTAGAAGAAATCGTTTAAATGAAAAGTTGAGTAAGCTCACTTGCCCTAAGGAGAGGTGAACTAACAAATGCTAGTGTCCTGATTTGGCAGTGTATCTGAGAAACTACTGATGCAATCTCAACACCTTCTCATATAATATTTTCACCATATGGCATTACGTCTGGGAAACCGTTAGTCTAGTCTTAATACTAGCTTATATACTGTTAGAATAACGTAGTATTACATGTATATCTTGAAAACCGTTAATATAGTCTTAAAATTAATGTATATACTGTTTAAATAATGTAGTATTACTTTTATATCTTGGAAAGCGTCAGTAAAGTTTTAACACTAGGTCATAGAGTGCTTTCATAATGTGGCATTCTATTGAAGAACCCGTTAGTATAGTCTAAACACTAGTTCATTTACTGTTGGAATAATGTAGTATTACATCATATCTTGGAAACCGTTAGGATAGTCTTAACACAAGCTCCTATACTGTTGCCATACTGAAGCATAGTATTTGTGAAACATTTAGTGTAGTCTAAATACTAGCATCTAGCCTAGTGTCATGAGGTGGCAGTGAGATACTTCTGGTACAATATTAACACTAGTGAGGATATTCCCAATGTTGGTTGTGTCTTAACATTATGAGAATCTGAGACTGAGAAATTACCGGTATAAGCACTTACAACTGTCGTAATCTTAGCAGTGTATCTCAGAAAGTATTTTGGGAGTCGTGTAATGTGGGTCCATCATGCTACATTTCAATGAGGTGGAATCAAAAATAAAACCTAAAGTTAGCTCTATCATAAATAAAACAGACCTGCATATATCCTTCAACTAGTTGTCGTAAAACAAAAGTAACAAGTCGACATTTCTACAGAGTGATTGGTTGAACAAACTCGCACGAGGTATAAACAAAAAAATAAACTTTATCAACGATGAAAGCCTTGCGCTAAACACAAATACTGCAAATTGCTTTTATCCGAAAAAGTATATTCAAATGATTCGCAAGCTTTCGCTTTTACAAGGTTTTCGTATTTACGAAATGAGCAATAACATAAATATGTCAGTTTATCAAATTGATCTGAAATTTCAAGACACGTTCTTTTTTTCGCGCAAAGTGTGATCAAGCATTGAACTGTTCTTGAAATGTTGTGTTATTCATAAAGACCCTAGATGCCATGCAAAAACAGTTCAATGTTTATATTTACGTTTTCTGTGGCTTTTTACGTTTTTCAACTAACAAGATTTATCTAAAATTTAAAATTCCGCCTTATCGACAGTCTGCACGGTTAAATAACTGGAACAGCGTGTTGTCACGTGTTGATTGGCTAATAATTGTGTCTCGTGGTGCATGTCATTTAAAGTCCAATCAACGACACAGCTTAAAAATGAATGCTATGAAATGCAAATGTTAATATATGGAAATATATTAAGATAGCGTCTTTTAAGTTATCACCCATTAATATATCAATAATTTACAGTGAAACATGAGATAGGTTCAGGTTGTTTTTTCAAACATAACGTTGAAAGCCTTACCTGAGCTAGCTGGTGTCCTCCTCGTTGCTGTGATTTAGTCTCTAACACAAAAGAAAAGTTCACCCTAGACAGCAACTTTGAGAATGTCATTTCCTCGAGCTTTGGACTTTGGATAACAAAGTACGTGTCAAATTGTTGTCCCTTTGTGGCGAAACCAGGAGCTATCATTTTGAGAAGAGCCGTTCCGAGTTGTGTAATCTTCAGGTCTCTGTCAAAGATGACGTGGAATGGAAATGTGCTACAAAAAGTGTCTACGCCAATCTTGAGATCGGACGGATTATCAGAAGTGGAAGCCCGAAAGGTACTGAATGTACATTCATTTTTGTTCGAGTATTCTCTAGGTTTTATATTGAACACATGATGTGTCTTGGAAGCTTTTTCACTAACTTGTAACGAAACTTCAGCATCTACCGAGAACATGAGTCGTGCCACTGACTGTACAATTCCAGCGTAAAACCCTAAGAGGTTCCGAAGATCAGAGTAAAAATGGAGATCGACGCATCCTTTTAACGCATGCGAACACCGGAAAGATGGAGGCACTTGAGAATCAAACTTTGGAGACGTTCTTATATGGTCATGGAGTCCGTCAAGATTGCTGAAAAATTCTACCATATTGCTTCCCATCATCCCAAGAGCTCGGCCATATTCAGATAGGCATAGTTGGACATATTCGTTCCCAAGCATCCGCAAAAACGTATCCTGATTTATGTCTGCAACAAAATGGAACACATACAAAATTATTTTTTATGTTTTGTCATCATTTCAATTAAATCGTACTGTTTAAAATTCTATTTTACCCAAAGATGTAGTTGTCACTTCCTTTGTCGATCAATAGTTGCAGGAACGGGTAACAGTTTCACGAATAATTATTCTTAATATAAGTTTCTGTGTAGGAAAGCATTGCTGTAGTAAACGAATCTTTCCTCTGTCTTTATGGGTGACCAAAACCCCGCACAATCTACACACAAATATATAGGAAAAGATAAAAATGAACAAAAGTAGCCGTAAATCAACACAAGGTTTGCTTTGCATTAAACAAAACTTTGTGTGTTACAAAACTGTCGAATCTTTTTCCGAATAGGCATGAAATAAATCATTTTATAAACATTTCTGACTTCTAAGAATATTTTGCGTGCTTGTATGTAGGGACGTTTATATATTTCTGCGTAGTAGGTTGGTTATGGGTTAAAAACGATATCAATTTGGTTTGAAAGACCATTATACACTTTGCACATAATCAAACAAAACCATACGAAATATATGTCGAAGAAGCATTGGGTTTTGTAATGTAGTTATAAATAGCGAATAGTATCTCCTCGTACGGCCTGTAATGGGTTCAGCAGGTCCGAGACAATATTCTAAAGTTATAATCACCTTTTAAGACCAACAAGTATAATTTCTTTTCAATTACTTTCATATCCCAGGATCCCAGGCGATAGTAGCCCTTTACGATGTGTAACTGGTGCAGTGATTCTATGATAAATATATGGCATTTGACGTATTTTATATCTCTATATCTAACGTAGGCCGGACTACATGAAAATCACATATTCCTTTATCATATGGGGCGAAAACCAAATTGAATATCACAGCTATACCAGGGAACACAGGACCGATTGGTCGGTGTCTCCACACATATAAATCGTATGAGGACAGTTGTCAAGGGGGAAAATCGCCATGAAAGGATAGCAACGGACCGGCAAGACAGACTCAGCAAGAGGCCCAATACTGGCCTCGTACGGAGATGGGATATCTTCACAATATCAAAATTGAATTCCATGCTTCTCTTTTATTTAAAAGTTCATTTGAAAGGATGAGCTTATGAGTAAAAGCAGCGATGGCGGTGGGACACAGCTGGCCAGTATATCACTAAGTCTGTCGTAGCGACGGTAACAACATACATTGATTGGAAGTATTTATGATGGTCAGCAGATTTCTATTTCCGTATATTAATAAGATTTCTTATTGTGTGAGACATACCTCCACTGAACCATCGATAAACCTTTTCAACAGCTCACAATATGGAAGGTTAAAATCGCTGTAAAGATGATATATTTTACTCAATTTGAATTTCACTTCGTCACAGAACATGTCACTTAAAATCGGAAATGAAAACGAGAAGAAATTGAAACGATAGTAAGTGAACAGAATTTAAATAAAATTGAAGTCCAAGTAATGCGACGGAGAAAAACACATGAAAATGATATTCTTTCCCTTCCCCTATGATAAAAATCAATTAAAAGATCATGTTTGAGCATGGTTTCAACAAATACAACAAACTATAACGAAAATCTGTTTTAGGTAGAAGGTGTAATGTTATTTTTTTTTAAATTTAGAAGTGTCGGAGGACTAAACGGGTCGATTGTCGGCGACCAGGTAGCTCAATTGGTAGAGCGTCCGCCTAGAGTTCGGAGGGTCCCCGATTCGAATCCCTCTCTGGCCATTGCATTTCCTCTTTCTCCTGTTACAGAAGGGAGGGACCAATTAGTTCAAGCACTTGTCGAAAATAAAAATATTACAAAAAAATCAAGAGGGCACAGATGCATTACGGGAACTACGTGCAATTGATTTATTTGTTACATGTAGTGGCCCTATACGATGATGCAGTAGGTTAGAGTGGGTCTATTTTTGTTTTTGCTCAAACATCTCTTAGACGATCATACATTCAGTAGCATTGTCCCTGAATAAGCAGTTCGGCAGGAGGTTAGACCTATTTGCAAACAAAAGTCCTCATGTTGCATGCTTTTCATGTCAATACCGGGTGACATGGAATCGATGTTGGGCAATTACAGATTTATATATAAAGAATGCCAGTCAATTGTCGTCAAGGAACTGCCCACAAACAATACTGAGAAACCTCAAGACACGTCAGATCAATATCTGTTTGATTTGGGAAACCCTGAGACAACTCGCTGGGAGTCTAATTGTGTAGTTCTGACCGTATGATTGACCTGAACTTTGGTAGGCCGGGTTATATGCGAGATTCTGTACTAATTATTATCTGTGATATGGTATTATAATGATTACTCCGATATTACTGTCAGGTTTGTTTCGTGTGTTTATCTCTGCTGCATATATTAGGTCCAAGACGATCCTACGTCCGATTCAATTTCTCAGTCTCTTTGAATACCTTAAATTGCGTTTGTAACAAATTTCGTGGATTACATACTTGTTGTAAGTGTAGGTAGGAATTTCTACAGTATACACTGTTTCAGTGATAACCGAAGGTACGAGTCCCATAAAATTCGCTAATACTTACTCATGGATATTTTCGCGATTGTGTTATAAACGACAATGTAGATGCTAGCCTATTGTGAAATACACAACATTTACATAATTATTGTTTATTAAGGTACGTGGACGCTTTAAGATATTAATCATAAAGATAGTGAACTTTGTATAGACACGTCACATATATAATGGAACTTTGCTGACATTTTGCAAAATTGTCATTCTTATCGTAACAAAGATTAAACGCTTTGTCTCCATAGCAACAACAGCACCATTACTTAAATCTTTAATAGCCCTGTTTGGTCATTTAGTGTTTCCTGAGAGCACTTTGTGCTGTCGACCTCTGATCGGGTAAGTAGAGATTATCTACAGAAACAACGTACTCGAAAAGCACTTTCCGGAAGGACAACATCAGATAGAGCTATGACAGCATAGAAAGACAACTCAGACCTCGCAGTTCGATGATTTGTGTGTAATTCTTGCACCATAACCCTTCCTCTCCCAAACCCTACCCACACCTCCATTTATACATAATTCAGAATTCAAAGATCTTAATCAAAAGTCATTTTTTAAAAGAACACGTAAAATGGATCAAACTTCCTCGAAACAGAAACAATGTTGACCGTGTTGTACCGGATATAGGTCATACATGGTTACCCAGGGTAACCCGAGGGTAAACATCCGGTGTAAGATGTCTACGTCACGGGGACCTTGCAACGCACTCTGTGATATTTATACCATGGAGACGACCACGTTTTTAAGGCATGGAAAATAAAGTGGATTGGTGGTTAAAAAAAAGACAGATTCCGACGGGAAATTTCGCAAGAACTCATGCACTAAAGCGCTCGTTTTTGTCGTGAAAGTCTTTATTTTAGGACATTCGTTTTAACGTTGTTTTAATTATTTGATGAGATGATATACGTTTCTTTCTGATAAACCTACCGTTAAGGATTCCATTTCCAACAACTTAAAACCAAACAGTGAGTCAAAAATATATTTCATTAGATTGATGTAACGCACGTGGGTTTCAGCGTGGACATTGACCTAATTAAGTGGCAAGGAAAGATTTGATTAGATGCAATAAATTAATCATGTGTTGAAAACCTCATTGACATGCACAGTCCTCGACATGTGACTATATCCAAAATATACCAGTTTTCCCTCCCATAATGCAGGAAATTTACTCCGCTACGTATTTTACCCCTACAATATTTTCTTTAACCCCTTTGTACCTCTTTCTCTCCTTCCTCCCCTGCGCCCCCCCCCCCCCCCCCCCCTCCTTTTCTCTTCAATATACCAATATCGATATATATATAATATTAGTCAGTGCCGTCTAATCGCCGTTTCACAAAAAAAAGGAGACGGATTAACATGAATACTTTGTATTTGTTTTCGAATCCTACGTGTATATCACGTTTGTATTAATGGAATATTATACCAATAATAAAATAAAGTTTAAACTAAAGTGTCAGAGAAAAGGAGGGTTAATTGGACTTCAAAACTAAAATCAATCAAGCCAAGAGAACATCGCAAACGTAATTTAAGTTCTATTCGAATCCTATAAAAAATGTATATACTGGCTTTATTGATAGGTGACAAGGGCTTATTCGAATTTACATAATTCTGGTCTGAAACAGTCTTTATGTTGCACGTCAGTATTTGATACTATCAATTTAATGGGGAAAAGGTACAGAAATCAGTCAAACGTCACCAGACTTGTCATATAATAAATTGATATTTAATTTGATGTTTATCTCGACGAGACAGTCATTCAATGCTATGCGGTTCACACAAAGCGATGTTTATTTCCGAAAACCTTACTGTAAGAGTATGTTTGTTTTCTTTTTTTCTTATGTTTCATAAGTCTATGAAGATTTTATTCAAATTAAGAGTGCTTAAATAACGGTAGACTGCTGGTCTGATCGACGCCCATTACGACTCGAGGGAGCTATATTAAACCCTCAGACCAGACACAGGTCACTTATATTTCAATAATGGTTGTACTTTTAGAAGGTATTAACAATTTAATGAAAATATATGAAAAGTTGTTATTCGATTCAATAAGATTATAAACGTAACACACATGCGCAATAGACGGGTTTACTTATATACCGATACCATCAGGGTATGTCTAATGGGATAAGATGTATAGTTCTTTGCTAAAATGGATTTTTTTTTAATCAAATTTGAAACTTTAATTCGTCTTCTGCTGTTATTTATAAATCAAATCAAAACTTTACCAAGGCAAACACATACGACGGGGAGGAGAAGTAGGAAGGGGAGTGAGAAAAGTAGAGGAGACGAATGAAAGAAGTGGAGAGAAGGCAACGGAGTGGGGAAGGGGCAACGGAGTGGGGGAGGGGCAACGGAGTGGGGATTAGGCAATGGAGTGGGGGAGGGGCAACGAAGTGGAGAGGGGGCAACGGAGTGGGGAAGGAGAAACGAAATTGAGGAAGGGGCAACGGAGTGGGGGAGGGGCAACGGAGTGGGGGAGGGGTAACGG